TTATAATGGACTGAACAGGTGGAGTATGAACAAGGGTTGAATGGGTTGGTTTGTTTTCTTTTGCAATCCACCAAAGAACCTGCTGATAACATGGTAAAGGTTTTTTAAAGTAAGGTGAGTTAGTAGGTTTGGATAGTTTTAAAGGTGATTTAGGTTGAGGTTTCGGAGGGATGTCCCATGAAGGATTAATGGATGGTGAATCTTTCCTAGCTGGTGGAGAATATTTGACATAATAGTCAAATTCACCAGATGGTTGACCAAGAAGGCCAACTTCAAGATCATGGTCTTCAAATCTAGAGTGAAGATCTTTTTTACTGCACCAAGTTGTCTGTTTTTTCTGTCTAGAATAATTTCGTCTAGATATATAATGCTCATCTATTTCCCAAATAGGATCATCACGGCAGGCCAAACATTGGCAGTCAATATCAAATGGGGTGTGACTAATGACTGGATCAAATTGATGATAGACAGGAGCACCAGATTGTTGAAATGAATGAATGGAAAGTCCAAGTTCTCGTACTACTGGAGCTAGTATGATTGGAGTGATCATGAATTGAGTTTGTCAAAAACTTAAAGGTGGAGCACTGGGAGTTGCTGGAGACTTAAATCTGATAGTTGTTGTTCTGTCACTGTTATCATGCATGGTAGATTCTGTAAAAACCATCGGAGTTTCTTTTTTATTAAGAGACTCATAACTTGTCACCCAAGAGTCGGGTAACAATTTAATCAAATCATCTCTAAAAATTTGCCTGGGAATATTGATGCAGTGAGGAGCATTCTAAGAGTCAACAGTACAGAGCAGTGCATCAGTAGTCGTAGGGATAGCGAGATCAAGAGCATGGTCTTGGATTCGCCAAATCATTTGATAATGCAAAGTAGCTGCAATACTTCCTGGATTTGAATCTGCACCAACGATCTGTAATTGAACTTTAAGGGCTTTGGAGCAATGAACATCAAAGAAAGACATGTTGAAATTAGGAAACAGTGTCATAATGATTGTCCCAACAATTAAAGTTGTTTGTGCTATCCCTATACAAGCATGTTGATATTGGACAAATCTGGTGTCCAACAAAGCGATTCAAACAGAAACTTGGAGTCATTTTCTGCCATGATAAGATAGAGCTAGCCGGATAGCGCCAAAGTGTACATGAAAGTATCCTTCATGGATCCATTGAGTAATGGATTCTTGAGGGATTTCCAAAGTGACATATTGCTCTTGCGTTGTGGCTGGAATTCGACACTTGTCAAAAGTACTAGTCTGAACATACTCTTTAACTGGCTTTCTGGAAGGTCTTACAAGAGTCTTAAAGGTTTTAGACAAAGAAGACGAAGACTTGGAAAAGGCTGTGTAAGGATTTACAATGGGAGGGATAGTATCTTGGATTTTTTGGTTTTCTGGGATATAAGATATTTCATACAAACTATCTACTTTAGAAGAAGATCTAGATAAGCTAGTATTTATGGGAGCAGTAAACGTAGATAAAGCTAAAAAGGATTCCATGTACGTAAGTTCAACCTCTTCGATGTGTAATATCACCTCAAATGGTAAGGATAGTGCAAGACCCACACATTAAACATAAAATGAAATTTAAAACATAAAACAGGAAATATAAAACATAACCAAAACTTAAAGGAGCCAATATCCGAGGGGAGGTAGTCATCCACACACACAAAAATTGGAACCAATAAGTAACTTAAAGAAGTCAATATTCGAGGGGAGGTAATCCTCCGCACACACAGAAATTGGTTGCCATAAGTGGTATGGCTCTGATACCATAAATCTGCACCCACAAAAATTGGAGACAATTAAATAATATAATATTAGAATACCAAGTAATTCCTAGTTGCATTGTTTTATGGATAACAACTTTATAGACCTCTTGTATATGAATTTGGATTTGTTTTCCTTATGTTTATGCTTCTTTATTTGGTTTATTTTAACCTCTTTTGGTCCATTAGATTAAGACTCATATTTGAATCATGAGAAATAAGGAGGGAAAATTAAATGATATTACATGGGAGCATTGTAAAAAAGTGAACAAGGAAACTAGATTGCATATTAAATGTTACTATTGTGGTATACCATATTGGGGTGGTGTAATACGAATGAAAAATCATCTTGCTGGAACCTATATCCAAGTTAAGCCACGTAGTCAAGTTCCCAAAGATGTTAAGATGAAATTTCAAGAGATGTTGGTAGCAAAGAAAGTTAATAAGGATGATGATGAGGATGATATGGTTGACATTTTTAAAGAGCAAGATGTTAATCCAAATAAGGGTAAAATTGATAATCTTCTTAGTAAGGGAAAAAAAGGAAGTGGTTCCTACTCTAAGCAAAGAACTTTAAATAAAGTTGTAAAAGATAGGGAAAAGGTAATTCAAGGTATATGTAGGTGTCTTTATGGCAATGAATTACCATTTAATTTAGTTAAAAGTCCTCTTTTTGTTAAAATGTTAAAGTTAGTGGGTGATTATGGAAGGGGATTGAAACTTCATACTTATCATGAAGCAAGAGTTTCTTATTTGAAGAGAGAGGTTGATCTTGTGGGAGAAAAACTTGGAAAGTATAAAAATGAGTGGAAAAAGAATGGTTGCACATTAATGTCGGATGGGTGGACGGATGGAAATGGTAGATCATTGACTAACTTTCTTATTAATAGTCCAAGTGGGACAATTTTTTTGAAATCTATTGATACCTCTGAATTTATAAAAATGCTCAAAAAATGTTTCAGTTACTTGATACTGTTGTGGAGGAGATAGGAGAAGAGCATATTGTACAAGTGGTAACTGATGGAGCATCCAATTATGTAGCTACCGATAGAATGTTAGAAGAGAAAAGGAGAAAACTATTTTGGTCTCCTTGTGCGGCTCATTGTCTTGACTTGATTCTTGAGGATATTGGAAAGATTCCAGTATTCTGTGATACCATTGCAAAAGCCAAGCAAGTCACAAGTTTCATTTATAGGCATACATGGGTGCTTAATTTATATAGAAAAATTTCAAAGGATAAAAAGCTAGCAAGACTGGCAGTAACGAGATTTGCAACCTCGTTTCTCACATTGAGTTGCATTATGGATAGTAAACTAGCTCTTAGGTCCATGTTTGCATCGGAAGAATAGGCAAATAGTACACATGCTACTATAGTTAAAAGGAACAAAGTGGTGGATATATTATCTTGAGTGATACAAGATTTTGGAAATCCATACAATTTCCCTTGAAATGTGTGGATCCACTAGTGGAGGTTTTTGTTAGTGTATGTCCTAGAAACCATTCGTGTTGTCGGTTTCAGAGCATTTTATCTTGTATCAATATATGTTTCCTTTATTCAATCATGCATTTAAAATAAAGTATATATATGAATTGTCTAGATGATTCATTTAATTGGTAAATGAATTTATCAAAATGTTCCCTACGGAAGCAATATTATTTGGGCAACTATATTGCATAGTAGGCATACTAGATGCTTCCGAAAGATATCATGAGTTGATACAAGTACAAATGACTATAATAGTCATGTCATTAGGGCACCAATATGGATTAGCGGTTGGTGAACTATTTTTCGAATATGACCGAATAACGACAAATCACTTGAAAAAGCATGTAGTCAATGATTTATTGTTTGGTTATATCAGTACACGATGTAGTCCTTTAACTTGAGACATCGTGGTCAGATCTGATACGGATGCGTATGGTTCATATGGTGTATAAGTACGAGACTAGTCATGTTTTGTATGATAAAACATATTTGGTCAAGCGTTGTTTATATGAGGAAACAAACGATGATCAAGACAAGATCCATTGACTAGGAAATATAGGATCAAGAGTACCGTTAACTCCATCCAGATCCAGGTTCGTGGATGAACGTCAATAAATGTTGGAAACCAAAAACCTCTAGTCAGAGTATATTATTAGTCACATGAAAGTAAGTTTGTGATGACAAGTTTCAGACATAATGATAGACGATTCGATAGAAGATCAAGTTTAGGATTTTGATGTTCCATAAATCAGTACTCGATCAGGATATATCAATGGAGGTACTTTACCTGCATGATACATATAATCTGAAAAGGGTTTGATGAAGTATTTCTTCATCGTGGTTTAGGAACTATGGTACATTGCTAGATGTTTACCATAGTCGTGGAGCCTCCAAACAAGTTTATTGATTCATCCGAAACTGGCTCACAACTAATCCACGGTGGACCTACATGGTCACACCAATAGCCTTGAGAAGTTAGAAAAGGATAAGAGAAAGAAATTATTATCCGAAGATGGCTAGCACCTTCCGAGGGTAATGACATGATTTCTATGGTAATTGTTACATAAAAAATTATTCGTGACATTTTAAAGATTAAAATGGTCAAGCAATAACTAATTGTATTTAATTAAGATATCTAATAACTTTTAATAGTTAAAGGGCAAAAAGATAAACTTACGGTTGTTAATGTAAACTAGTGTAGTTTACTTAAGCCCTTGAATAATATTGATTATTCAAAGACCAAATTACTAAATGCTTGAACTCTTTTTAGAATAAGATTTTATTAGGGCATGCAAGTGAAAATAAGTAATTATACAATAACCCATGTATATATAAATGCAAAAAGTTGCATTTTAGATTAAGTTGTTCATTGTACACTTAAAAGAAAAACACAAGTTCTCTCTTAGGTTTGGCCACCCTCTCTTTCTCTCAAGGTGGTGTTAAGTGTAGAAGGTTCATAGCTTTGAATCTCGGCTTCATCAAACCTAAGCTCTAGGAGAAGGTATAATGTTCATTTATGCTTTATTTAAAAAAAAAAAAATAATCCTTTAATTCATATCTTAGCTTGCATGTCTTGTTTACATGTTTTCCATCATTTTTTTGCCACCTCTTCATGGGTTTTTCAGTTTTGAGGCTTGTAGACGGTGATGTGAAACCAGCAATGGGATACATCTATGAAGCCATGAGAAGAGCAAAGAACCAATTGCAAAAGAATTTCAACAATGTGGAGCATTGATATAGAGAAATGTGGAAGATAATTGACACTTGTTGGGATTTTCAACTTCATAGGCCACTTCATGCAGTGACATACTACTTTAATCCTAAGTAAGTGTTGATCATTTTTTTTAATCCATATAAAAATTGCTTAAAATTTTGAATTTAGAAATCTAATTTATGTTGATTTTATATATTAGGTACCATTATAATCCAAACTTCAATCTAGACAAAGAAGTTAAAAATGGATTGCACAAGGTAATTGAGAAGATGAATCCGGATGTGGAAACAAGAGTTGAAGTTGATGCTCAATTTGACAAGTTTACAAGAGGAGTGGGATTATTTGGAATAGATATGACCATAATAAGAAGAGACAAAAAACAACCGAGTATGTTTGCTTATGTGTTTGTTAATTTTGTTTTTTTTTTTTTTGTTTTTTTTTTTTTGTTTTTGTTATAACTTAATAACGTGTTGGTTACTTTTTTATTTTTAAACAGCTTTATTGTGGGACAACTATGGAGAAGAGTGCAAAGAGTTGCAAACACTTGCCATAAAAGTCTTAAGCCTTGCATGTAGTGCCACGGGTTGTGAAAGAAATTGGAGCACCTTTGAACATGTGCATTCTAAAATAAGGAATCGTTTGGAGCAACAAAGATTGAAGGCTCCTGTCTTTGTTAAATATAAACTTCAATTAGAAATGAGGCAAAAGCTTAGGGAGGAGAAAGGAGAGGCATCTGATCCAATATGTTTATCGGACATAGAATCCGATGATGAGTGGATTATGGAAAAAGAAGATCTTTGCTTTCCTGATGATAATTCATGGATGTATGTTCAAGAATGCTTCAACCTAGATAAAGGCTCCTAGCAATAAAAAAGTTAATCCAATAGTTCTTTTAATAAAAAAATTGAATGTACTATATATATTGATGGTTTGATGATTTCTTTATAGGACCAAGGAACTTGAATGCTAGTAGCAAGAAAGCTAAAGAAAAAGTTGATGAGGAAGATATATGGCCCATTTTGCGTGAAGAAGATGGAAAAAGTGGAGAGGAAGACGTGTTACCTACTTTGCATGTTAATAATAACACTCATGGAGATATGGATATTGACATTGACCTTGGAAATAATATGAATGGTTAAAAGAAAATTATATAGATTTTTAATTTTGTAATTAATTTTAATTATATAAGACTATAATTTAAAGCTCATAATATCACAAAATTCATTAATTAATCTTGTAAATGATATTAATTTTTAGAAATTTTTTATTATTTTATTATTATTATTTTTTAAAGAAATATCATACAATATGATACGTGATATACGATTTGTAAAATTAAATTTTCGATATGCGATACGATACGCAATTTGACAATCATGTTTGATATATATTGTTGATGCGTGATTTTGATACCAACGAAACGCACGTGTGAGATGCTAAGCTGGCCTAGAAAACACACGTGAAAGCAAGAGAATCGAGAGCAAATGCAGTAAGAAAGGGGTTTTAAAGTGGTTCGAATGCTAAGGAAGCAAGTCCTACGTCCACTGATGTTTGTATTAATGATAAAGGTCAGGTCACTTCAGCGGATTGACTTTACAATGATAATACAAGGTATCAAATGTTGTATATCCTAGAGAGAGAGTAGCTAATCCCTCAAATGAGAGGAGAGCTCCCAATTTATAGTGGGATGGATTAAGGTTATCATTACTGAATCTGTGAGTTGGTGGGATTATCCATGCAAATCCTTCTTTATGTCATATTGCCCACCTTCTAGAGTAATTCATGCGATTTGCTGCAGGGATTGGACACGTGGACGTCCTCTAACCTTTCTTCAGTCTGGCGCGCACCCACTATACCGACAAGAGTGTGCTGCTTGCATCATTACGCGACGCGACTTCGCCAGAATGTCAGCAGACTCTTCCCGAGGTCTGACTTTTCGCACTTAACTGGGCGCCACGTCAGTCCTATTTTCCCAAGCATAACAAAAGTTTTCTAGTTTTAAGGTTTGAGAATCGAACCTTGGAAACTATAAATGCCTCGATTGGGTGTCCGAAGAGATTCTGGTCGCTACAATCTGCTTGTAAAAGAGATCGGGACACTTTCAGGTAGTTGAGGATCTGCGATCTCATGGCCATCTACCTGGCCTCGGGGACTTGATGCTAGTGGTGACCCCGACCTGAGAAGATTCTCGACCTGTTCTCACTTGAACTTTTTAGGATGAATGGCCATGCTACTTTGGAGCAGGCGTCACATCGCTTCGAGATTGTCGAAACCCGAACAATAAGGCCGTCTCGCGATCATTGCGAGATGGTTGCTTCGTGGCCGATGAGGCTCGAAGAGTCGCATCGCCTCGCGACTGGTGACGAAAAATGTAGTTGGTAACAACTTCTTCAGATATCCGTTACACCTTTAGCTGTGAGCGCATTAAATGAAATGCTCTTTGTTTTGACAGACGTGTCCTTAAGCTTTCTGGTCGTGATCGCGGCTAATGGCTCGGCTTCAACCCATTTGGTGAAGTAGTCTATCGCAACCACGGCATATTTCACTCCCCCTTTACCAGCCGGCATGGGGCCAATGAGATCGATCCCCCATATAGCGAACAGCCAGGGGCTGGTCATAGTCGTCAGTTGGTGAGAGGAAGCTCGCGGTATGTTCACGAACCGTTGGCACTTATCACACTTTTTGACAAAGTTGTAGGTATCTTCTGGATCAGGGGCCAGTAGTACCCCTGACGAACAATTTTGTTGGCAAGAGATCATGCGACGGTGTGATTACAGTAGATCCCTTCATGTATCTTCCTCATGATATAATCCGCCTCTTCGTTATTTACACATCAGAGGAGAAGAGTGTTAAACCCTTGCCTGTACAACTGATCTCCGATAAGAGTGTAATGGGCAGATCTTGTTCGCAGAATCCTTGCTCGACTTTGTCGTCAGGCAAGGTCCCATTTTTGAGATACCGAATAATGGGGGTCATCCATGAATTTGAATCTGTTACATTCACGGCCTGTTCGATTGGACTGATATTGGGGATCTCGATGAATCGAACAGGAATGTTCTCCGGTGCATCCGAGTCTAATGATGAGGCTATTCTTGCCAAGGCATCCGCCACAGAATTGCTATCTCTAGGAATCTGAGTGATCGTGAAGTGCTTGAATGGCTCGAGTGCGGCTTTAGCTTTCTTCAGATAATTGATCATGTTATCTTCATTGGCTTGCTACTCTCTCAAAATATGGTTAACGACCAACATGGAGTCACTGTGGAAGCTGACCGCGGTTGCACCCATTTCCCAGGCCAACCTTAGTCCAGCGAGCAAAGCTTCATACTCGGCATCATTATTGGTTGCTTTGAAGCCGAACCGGAGAATGCCATGAATACGAGCCCCTTCGGGACTTAACAAAAGAAGACCCGCCCCGGCCCTCTTGCTGTTCGATGATCCATCGACGTAGATGGTCCAGGTCGAGAGGTTTTGAACAGCTTCCTGGATGACTTTGTTGGGCTATTCCGACTCGTTCGTTGGATGATGCGAGAACTCTGATATGAAGTTGGCAACAGCCTGCCCTTTAATAGTTGCTCTCGGTTTGTAATGGAGATCGAACTTGCTGAGTTCCATGGCCCATTTGAGCAATTTACCCGACGCCTCTGGTTTTTAAAGGACCTGTCTAAGCGGGTAATTAGTCAATACATGAACTGTATGGGCATGGAAGTAAGGTCGCAACTTTCGGGAAGCGATTAGCAGGGCATAGGCTAATCGCTCCATTTCTGGATACCGTATCTCGGCATCCAACAGACGCTTGCTCGTATAATATACTGGCCATTGCGTTCTGTTCTCTTCCCGAGCTAAAGCTGCACTGATCGTGAACTGCGAGACGGACAAGTACAAAAGGATGATCTCTTGTGGGAGAGGTTTGGACAGAAGTGGCGGCTTCCCGAGGTGTTCCTTTATTCTCTGGAAGGCCTGTTCGCACTTGGGAGTCCATTCGAACTTCTTATTGGCCCTGAGTACATTGAAGAATGGCAAGCAGCGATCTGTTAGCCTCGATATGAAGCGACTTAGCGCTGCTATACGCCCGTTCAGGCTCATAACCTGTTTTTTGTAGGTCGGGCTCTTCATATCAAGGAGAGCTTGGATTTTTTCGGGGTTGATCTCAATTCCCCGCTGGTTAACCATGTATCCTAGGAACTTTCCCAAGGATACTCCGAATGAACATTTGAGGGGGTTCAGTTTCATTCGGTACTGTCGGAGGATGTCGAACATCTCAGTGAGATGTGCTACGTGATCTGAAGCGACATGCGACTTGACCAGCATGTCATCTACGTAGACCTCCATCGATCTGCCTATCTGTTTGGAGAACATCTGGTTAACCAGTTGCTGGTAAGTTGTACCAGCGTTTTTGAGGTCGAAGGGCATAACTTTGTAGCAGTATAGTCCTCAGTCTGTAACAAAAGATGTAGGCTCTTTGTCTGACGCGTACATCAGAATTTGATTGTATCTCGAGTACGCGTCCATGAAACTCAGCAGCTCGTGCCCTGAGGTAGCATCCACGAGCTGGTCAATCCTTGGCAAGGGAAAACTATCTTTCGGACATGCCTTGTTGAGGTCAGTGAAGTCGACGCAGGTCCACCATTTGCCGTTAGGCTTCTTTACTAGAACTAGGTTGACAACACAGGTCGGATAGAATGCTTCTCGGATGGATCCATTTCGAATGAGGTTATCCACCTTAATCTTCAAGGCAGCATACCGCTCCGGATCCATTGCTCTCCTCTTTTGGTGAACTAGCTTGGCTTCACTATCGATGTTTAATGCATGGCAAATAATATTTGGGCTGACCCCGACCATATCTGCGTGCGACCATATCTGCGTGCGACCATGCGAACACATCGATGCTTTCCCTGAGGAAGTTGATCAGTTTGGTAGCGAGCTAGGGATTGAGATTTTTACCGATCCTTAACACCCTGCTTGGCTCGTTCTGGTCGACCAGTACTTCAGTCAAGTCCTCAACTGGCCCACTGGAAGGGCAGTCCTGAATGCGAGGATCTATATTATCCTCGACTGGGCCAAGCTGTGGCTCGATCCGGCTAATCGTCATTGCCTAGTTGTGATTGCCGCGCGAGGTGCCTTTGCCTTTGCATGCCATCTGCACTGCTTTTACATAGCAGTCGCGAGATGCGTGTTGAGACCCGCTAACTTCCCCAATCCCCGTCGAGGTGGGAAACTTCATCTTCAAATGATATATTGAAGTGACTGCCTTGAAGTGTCTCAACAGAGGTTGCCCCAGGATTCCATTAAAGACGGATGGGCAATCCACTACCAAGAACTCAATTACCTTGGTCATCTCGTCTAAGTCACCCAGCGTGACTGGGAGTGAGATCGTTCCCTTGGGGAGCAGGTGGTCCCCTGTGAAGCCATACAAAGGGAACGATGCAGGCTTTAGGTCGACCTCGTCCAAATTCATTCTTTCGAAAGTTAAAGCGAACAGGATGTTCACAACACTTCCATTATCCACTAACATTCTCTGGACATTATGGCACCCTATGAAGGGTGCGATTACAAGGGCATCATAGTGAGGATAATACAGCCGGGCCACATCTTTTTCGGAGAAGGAAATTTCCTCCTCCCGACAAACCTTTTGTGGTTGCTGTGCCACGCTCATCGTTTTGATGGGGTCGTGATATGCCTCGCGAGCATACCTTTCTTGGGTACCTCACGAGTTCCCCGCAAAGTGCGATCCCCCGAAGATTAAATTGAGGGTGCACACTCCTTTCTGATCACGGCGCTTCTTACTTTGTTCCCCCTGATTTTTCTCTTGTAAGGGAGTAGAGTCATCAATATACTCCTTGAAATGTCCCTGCTTGATGAGGTTTTCGATCGCTTGCTTGAGAGCTCGGCATTCATCGGTATGGTGCCCATTGTCTCGATGATAGCGACAATATTTTTTACTGTTCCTGGCCGATAGGGGATTTTTCATGGGCTCAGATTCTCCGAGCAGGCTGGCCTCTTCTGATTTGTCAAGAATAGCCGATACATATGCATTCAAGGGGGTATATTAGTTCCTATCGCGATTGTGACGAGGAATTGGGGCATAAGACTTTTTGGGCTCATAGCGCGGCTTCTTCCCTTTTCGCTGATCGTCAGGAGCCCATCTACGATCAACTCTCATTTTTTCTTCCCGACCAGGCGCACTGCCTGAGATGCCGCGATCGCGATGGTGGAGTGCTGCTATAGAACTTTCAATACGGAGACACTTCTCCGCGAGATTGTAAAAATGGATGAGGGAAACATCATCCTCAACCTATAGCTCTTTCCACAAGTCGGTTTGTGGGCGAACTCCTGCAATGATGAGAGTCTAAACAGCTTCTCGGGAGTGTGAGCCACTTTGTTGAGTTCTCTGTGGAATCTGTCTATATATGATTGGAGGGATTCATCCCTCTCTTGCCTTATGTTGCTGAGATAGCTCAAAGGCATTGAGAACTTTCTGTTCACCTGGAAGTGTCTCAGGAACGTCGTGCTCATTTGAGGCCACGAGCTGATCGATCCCGCTAGAAGCAACCTGAGCCACCGTTTGACATGTGAGGTTAAGGTCACTGCCAAACACCGACATTTTGCCAAATCTGAGACCTGGTGAAGCTCCATTAGGTCATTGAATTCATATAAGTGATCATGCAAATCAGAATTTCCATCGAACGCCCGCATGTTGGGCATTCTAAACCCCGATGGTAGCGGGGTGGCTAATATTGTTGGAGAGAAAGGGGACACCGATGCGACCTGCCCTTGCTCGTTTTGCTGAGCTTTTAGTTGGTCAAGAGCTCGCTGCAGCTCTTCGATTTAAGGTAGCTGTGCTACCTGGGGATTACTTTTCGCAACGTGGGTGTGACCCTCACGGTTACGGTTGAGGAATGACCCGTAAATTGGATTCCCCCTCGCCTCTGCCGGCAGTCCCGGCCAATCTTGGCACACGCTGGCTAGAGCTGTGTGATGGCGTTGCATTATTCGGGGAACTTTCACGACCTCCGCGGTGGTGCGAACCGACCCGTAGAGTGTCATAGCTTCCCACGCGACGATCAAGATCGTCCTGGCGGTAATGAGAATTGCCCTGCCCAGCACTTTTGTGGGAGTTTTCATGCGACGTGGCGTGGGATGGCTCGGGCTGCACCCTTTCACCGAGTCTCAACGCCATAGGTATTCTACTAGGGGCGCGGTCGATGTTTGCCGGGCCTTTCGAGCTTTTAGGCCCATTTGCCACTTGCTTACCCTTTCTTCGGCGCGCTGCAGTGCTCGTGGCACTAGCTATCGCCCTTTGCCGCGCTTTCGCATGACCTGCAGGCGTTTTTGGCGGTTACACAGCCTCATTCGACTTGGGCGGTACATTCTGGTCCAAATGGTCCAATCTCCGTGTGACCGTTTGGAGAGTATTATTGAACCTCTTCAGGTAGCTTAGAACGGCAGGGTCAAATTGTGAACTTGACGGGATGTTTCCCGCGGTAGTCTGCGGGGCCGAGGGTACCCTAGGGGAGGCATCCTCCTGCATTTAAGGGATCCCCTCAGTATTCTGTTTGGTTTTCTCAGGTTCAAATCGGTGAGCCATTTGCTGTTGTAGGGCCGACAGGTTAGTGATTCTTCTGATGAAGGACGAATGCCAAATCAGCCCTCCTTCTAGTGTCAAACTGTTGATGCGTGGTTTTGACACCAACGAAACGCACGTGTGAGATGCTAAGCTGGCCTAGAAAACACACGTGAAAGCAAGAGAATCGAGAGCAAATGCAGTAAGAAAGGGGTTTTAAAGTAGTTCGGATGCTAAGGAAGCAAGTCCTATGTCCACTAATGTTTGTATTAATGATAAAGGTCATGTCGCTTCAGCGGACTGACTTTACAATGATAATACAAGGTATCAAATGCTGTATATCCTAGAGAGAGAGTAGCTAATCCCTCAAATGAAAGGAGAGCTCCCAATTTATAGTAGGATAGATTAAGGTTATCATTACTGAATCTGTGAGTTGGTGGGATTATCCGTGCAAATCCTTCTTTATGTCACATTGCGCACCTTATAGGGTAATTCACGCGATTTGCTACAAGGATTGGACACGTGAACATCCTCTAACCTTTCTTCAGTCTGGCGTGCACCCACTATACCGACAAGAGTGTGCTGCTTGCATCATTACGCGACGCAGCTGCACCAGAATGTCAGCGGACTCTTCCCGAGGTCTGATCTTTTGCACTTAACTGGGTGTCACGTCAGCCCTATTTTTCCAGGCATAACATATATATTTGGAGATGTCTTCTGTAAATTCTAACATATTGAGAAAAGTAAGAAACAGGAATTACCAAATTCATACCCATATGTATTTTAATCACAATCAAATAACAAATAATGGGTCATGTAGAGAAAATATTCATTTATTTGACGATTGATATTCTTCTCTCACAACAACTTTGTTGAGATGAAATGAAACGTCAAATGACGCTTCAACCAATTATCACTTTATAGCCAAATGAAACGAAGGGGGTAAAAAGGTCATTTATGAAAAGTGAAGACTGAAGACGCAGAGACGTACTCTCACCTCGATTTAAGAGCATTATTACTTTTTGTAGTGTTGTGTGTATTTGTATGTCTCGCTCTTCACAGACAACCTCTTTTCTTATTTTTAACGTTCACTCTCTCCGTGTAATCTCAAGAAGAAGGAATTGAAGAAGAAGAAGAGAAATCCATAAAATATTCTGACAAAACACACACACAAAACATGTCTTTGGGTTATGCAGAGAAGCTCTCTTATAGAGAAGATGTGGGCGCCGTTGGAATGTCTGAGATTTTCGACCCACCCCACGTATTGCAACAGAAAGTACACTCCTTTTTATTCACTTTTAACTTTTCTTTTCTAGTTTTTGTAACTAGTTTTGCATGTTGCTTTTCTTCTCTTATTCTTGTGTTTTGTTTTGTTCTTGCTTTCTTGTTTTTTTTTTAACTTAACATTAAACACAGGTTGATTACTCAGTAGTGTTTGGGAGGTGACATGATATACGGGTTTTGTATGGAATTATTTTTGTTGGGCTGAAATGGGTTTGAATGTGATTGTTTTGTTATGGGTTTATTTGCTTTTTTTATGTTCACCTTTAAAATGGCGAGATTGCTTGTTAATTTTTTTTTTTTTTAATTTTTTTTTTTTGGTTGAGAAAGAATGTATTTCGGAGGTGTATTCTTTTTTTATGTTCATTAGAAATTTTAGGGTTTCATTGCTGTGGGTACTGTCAAAATGTTCATTTAATCTAATATTGTCGTACATTAGTTTGTCGGGCAAGTGATTCTAAGAAGGAAGATCATGGACTAGGTGCGAAAGAGAATGTGCAAACGGTTTGCTTGGGATCAAAATTATTGTAGACTATACTATATGATTCTAGATTATTTATGTTTTCATGGTGAAGGATGACACATTTATTTTGTATTATATAGCTCCTAGAATAATTTTTTTAGCTATAGATATTATAAGCAAATTTATATAGTTGCTTTTCTGCTCTTAATAAAAATGTATATGGTTGCATAAAGCCATTTGCATGGGGAATTCTTGTCCCAAGGGCTGGTCATACTTTTGCATTACACATGATTTGTATAATCTGAGTCATTTTAATTTCATTTCAATGAATTTCATAATCTTGTTATAATTCTGTGATTTCAAACCTCTTTTCTATTTAATTGCAGATTACACAGCTTGCAGCGATGATAAAGCAGGTTTGGAACTCTTTAACTTCCCTATTCTCTAGTGCTTATGGAATCTTTCTTTTTTCTTTAATTTTTTTTTTTTTTTTTTTTTTAAATTATAGGAGCTGCATGATTGATTAACAAAGTCTTTTTTGAGTTGTCTTTTCCTGTGCTTGCAGAGTAAGCATCTAGTGGCATTTACAGGTGCAGGAATATCAACTTCATGTGGTATTCCTGATTTTAGAGGTCCCAAAGGAGTTTGGACACTTCAGGTGAGAACCATTTTCATTTATCTTTTTATTCCTAAGTTTGGATAAATGGAACCGAAAAGGCCTTTCTGTATAGACACACACGTGCATCTCATATTTTGGCAGTTAATACCAATCTTATATATTGAGTTGTAGCGTGAAGGCAAAGGTGTGCCTGATGCATCACTCCCATTTCATCGTGCTATGCCAAGTATTACTCATATGGCTTTGGTTGAACTAGAGAAGGCTGGCATCTTAAAGTTTGTTATTAGCCAGGTTAGAGTTCTTCATTTTGTTATCAAGATATTATGCCATATTCCATATTTTTCCTCCTCTGGGAACTGCAATGTGAACTTACAATGCTCAGCAATTTTCTCTTTTCTTTAATTCTTTCTGCCCCATATAAACTTTCAGAATGTGGATAGCCTCCATCTTCGATCTGGAATACCAAGGGAGAAACTTGCAGAGTTGCACGGGAATTCTTTTAGAGAAATTTGCCCATCCTGTGGAGCAGAGTAATTTTACATTCTGTTTTTCTGCTAATGATGTGGCTCAATATTTTGGTTTCATTGTTCAGCAGAATCTCTCAGTCTATCTCTTTGTGGAGCTTCTATTATTGTTCAGATATTTAATCAAGTTTGCTATATGCAGGTATTTGCGGGATTTTGAGATAGAAACTATTGGCAAGAAAAGGACACCACGGCGTTGTTCTGATGTTAAATGTGGGGTGAGACTCAATGACACCGTTCTTGATTGGGAGGTAAACTAGTTTGTTGCTTTGCTTCGTTCCACTGTTTTTGAGGATAAGTACTATGATGCTTGCTTCAAAATCTGCGTTAGCTGTGATTTAGGAAATTTGTAAACTTGTATAAATGGTTTATGGTAACTTGTTGAAGTTCATGCTGACACTCCTCGTTTTATCATAGGATGCTTTGCCAACATCAGAGATGAGTCCTGCGGAGCAACACTGTCGGATGGCAGATGTTGTACTATGCTTGGGAACCAGGTGGGTTCCTTTATATGTGTTGATATCATCTTATTATCTGTAACAAAACTGTCATTTGCTGCTTTGTATTATACATTACTTGTGGAGGTGTTTGAAGTTGAGCTGCCCACTTCATTATGTGTTGAATGTTATGGTTTCAAAAGTAGATGAAGGGGTCCCATCACTTTGTGGTTTTGTACTGTTAAAAAATTCAGGTTCCTAGATGTAATTTATCTGATTTTGAACATCCTTTTTTTCTGTATTTCCCCTTTTTCTCTCTTTAGTGTCTTAGTCAGATTGCTGTGATACAGTCTGCAGATAATTCCAGCTTGCAACCTTCCTTTAAAAACACTTCGTGGTGGGGGTAAGATCATAATTGTAAACCTTCAGGTATTTTTTTCTCTCCATTTTCTTTTACTCATGCATCTGAAGCACGATTTGTGCATACAACCCATGTAGACTGAATATTTAAGTGTAGCTGATCAGGAAGTTAAGGTTGCATTAGTGGCTACACTGAACCCAAACTAAGAATTTTGAGTTTGTCTTTTGTTTTATTAAATGTGAAAGTAATGCCTATTTTGTTTATCCAGTCTTTTACCTTTTATTTGAGTTTTCATTAACTATATCATAATTTAGGGAGATGTGTCACCAGGATCATGCAGAATAATGCAATTTCTTGGCCAAATGAATGCTTCATGCAACCAATTACATGATTCTTTCGTGAATCATGCTACACTATTTGTGAAAATAGTTTAATATGGATGGAGTTCTTTGTCTACTCCACAAGAGGTATAGCATGGTGGGATGCTTTTGTATCTCAATTAGCTCGATCTTCTCTGCTCTTCTAGGTCTATATTTTCAGTGCAGGCATTTTCTCTATAAATTGTCTAGTCTTAGCTTGACTGCACCCTTTATGGAATTTATTTAATTTTGCAGCCAACCCCAAAGGACAAGAAAGCAAGTTTGGTTATCCATGGTCTCGTTGATAAGGTACTCATGTCATTTTCTGAATTGATGTGGAACAATGGTGCTTGTGTACTAAAATTTTGTATAAAATGCTTAATAAATTTCATGCAACTACAAATTATGTGATCATTGGTGCTGTTTGCCATTTATAATTATAGCAATTCCTTACCGCACTCGTTAGATGTTGTCAGTGTCAAGTTGTGATATAGAATCAAGAATAAGGATTATGTAATAACTAACAAGTGGATGGCTTTTTGTATAAAAGCATATATAGTCAGTAAGGTAGAGTTAGTCTCAGCACTTTCTGCTTAGTACTTACTCAGGGTGGCTCAAACCTGATTGTAACATAAACAGACCTGCAACGCTCCTGGTCACTAAAGCTATATGTTGAGGGGTGGAAAATCCTTTTGATTCTTGGACACTGCCTATCTTTGACATTTATACTCTTGCATTTCTTGTTTTGGATACTTGAGGGTTTCTTTTAAGTCCAAAGAGCAGTTTATGTTTATATTACAACTAATATAAGTGAATTTTTGTGAGTATTTTCTGAAAGGAAATATGTACTGTATATTTTCCTTGAGGGTGAGTTGAATTAATATGTACAGTATATGGTCCTTAAGGATGAGTTTAGGTAATCAGATATAATATGTACAGTATATGGTCCTTAAGGGTGAGTTTAGTTAATCAGATACAATATGTACAGTGTCTACACTCTACACGCTAAATCATCACTCAGCTAGACCAAGTTGACAATTTTTTTTACTACAAAGAGATTAATTTGAACGACAGGTAATTGCTGGAGTTATTCATGACCTTAATCTTTCGATTCCACCATACGTTCAAGTTGATCTTTTCCAGATTAGTCTTACTCAGTTCTCTAGACTATCAATATCAGGTATCATTTCTTGCTTTTTGCATCCTTTTCTTATCCAATTAAACATGGACCTCTGCAAAGTTTTTTTGGTGATAAGCTTACTAAGCTTAGTGTCAATTATGAATCTTAACCTTGGATTTTTCCTTTTTCCTGAGGTATCAGGATCACCAGTATCGTTATTTTGTGTAAGTGTTGGGATGTGCAAATGCACAAGATTTTATATGTACTTCAGTTTATCATATTCCCATTTGTGGCTTGAGTTACACAAACCAAAAACTTGGTGGAATAACTAATTGCTTTTTGGGTCATGGGATCAATACAGAGAACAAGTATGTAAAATGGGCTCTCAGAGTTGATAGTGTTTTTGGACCCAAAGCTCCTTTGCCATTCATCAAATCAGTTGAGGTAGGATTTATTACTAATCTTATCCAAGCGTTGATTTTACTGCTCGAATTTTTGTGCAAAGAGTATCTTTTAAAACTGTCTTTCAGTTGCTTTCAGTTACCTATCTGTTTTCCAACCATTTAACTTTTTTTCTTTTTTCTAGCTTGAATCTGAATTTAATTCTTATGTATTTTCAACATAGGTTTCTTTCTCAGACAGGCGAGATCTCAAATCAGCTGTTTTACATAAGCAACCCTTTGTGCTTAAAAGGTACTGTCGTTTTTAGTAAGTGCTGGAGGGTGGAATATAACGCCCTTTGCTTGTGGAGATGTAAACTATATTTAGCCACTTTACCAAATAAATCTAGTAGATTCACTGAACCGCTATCTTTTCTCTGGTCTTGTAACTATGAATTTACTAGTTGCTTAGTCTAATGGTTTTTACATGGGAGATTCTAATATATTTTTATCCTCCATGTTTGTCAATGCACTAGGGAAATGCTTAGAACAAGACCATTTACATTGGTCCTTAAGCTCAATTTTAGTGATGGTTGTGGTTGTCAGTGCACCAGTTTGGAGTTACCGGTCAGTTTGCAGGTAATGTGATATCTGTATGCTCGCAATTTTGGTTCATCTTTTGGGCTTAACTCTTTTTTCCCCACATGCATCAACTATCAGCTCTAAAATTAGACCTCTTAAAAAAAATTCTTCAAGAAAATTCTCAAACAAAATCATAGAGATAATTCACATGTTATAATGTACAATGCAGGAACAAGGAGATAGCATCAGCCATGATAAGGATGCTGTGGTCGAGATGTTAAGGAATTCGGCGATCCAAAATGAGTGCTTAGGGCAGGTTTCTCTTGTTGAGAGAGAGATTCTTCTATCTCCAAAAAAGGAAATTGCTGTGTGTGCTGTTGCAACAAACATAGTCTGGTATGACAGTTATTTTGAGAACTCTGCATTCTTTGAAGAAACACCAAAGAACAACGAACATTTACTGAGAATGCCAAATGACAGCCTGAGGTATAGCGAAATGCCTACAAAAAAACTGAAATGTTATTAGCTTCACAAGTATGCTATTTGATGGATATATATATTTAGGAAGATGATGTGCTAGCAGGACTGGAATGAGGGTCGACTGGATTGCATAGATGATGTTCCTTTAGATGTTGATGGTGCTTATACTATTATCTATCAATGCAAAATTTTGCATGCTTGCACCTGCTCTTCTTACCGTGAATATGGATTGATGGGGAAGTGACTGTTTTGACCCCATGTTTGTAAATGTTAGACCCTAACCAGTTTAGTGAAAGAAGTGAAAACTTTTCATTGTCTTTGCATCCATATGCTCCTGCTCTGCTCTTCATGCTTTAATTGAGATTTTCACTACTTGGTTTAAACTTATCAGTAAATGAAGTTAAAACACATTTTCTATAGATTTTACCAGTATGCCAGTTGTATCTTCAAATACAAATTGCTAATATTTAGTCGATTCCAAGTATAACATATTTAGAATGAGAGGTGGCCATGTTCAAAACTCTTGAAAAAGACAAAAAAAGACAACCGACCACCGTTTTTTCTCGTCCTTTTAACATTGGTTGATAAGGAACATTACATGCATCATGTGTTGATTAAGTTTATTTGAATGAACTATTAAAAGTATTACCAAATGTTCTCATGTTCAACATGTTAAAATTGATATTTAAAATTCATAAGACAATTATACAAGCGTTGATCTCTATGTAAGGTCTCAAATCTCATGCCCCCTTTGGATTTGGTTGTAAAGACAAGACATTAGATAATATTATTTTTTAAATAAATAAAAACTAAATCATCAATGAAATTAATTTTTTTTTTATAAAAAACTGTATAACAAAATCATAAAACTATCTTTGATAAACACATCGGATATGATATAACAATACTACAGTATAAACTACTTTTACAAAGTACTTTTCAAAGATATATATATATAGCTGAATAAACTCATATTGACACTACTCAAAGATATTATCATAAATATAGAAACTGAATAAATAAATAAACAAATAAAAATAGTAAGCCACGCACCATGCACCGAGAAACTGAATGGTGGTGGTTGAAGCTCGTGGAATTCAATTTCTGGTTGTTGTCGTTAACAGGACAAATAATGAAACATCAAAAAAATCAGATCGAACTTCAAAGAGTGTTTTAAACAACTTCTATTAGATACGAAGACACGCAACCATCTTGCTGTCCACGTTCTTTTTGTTGTCCCACAACTTCTATTAGATACGAAGACACGCAACCATCTTGCTGTCCACGTTCTTTTTGTTGTCCCGGTAGTTTTATTTTCACCTTTCAAGATTTGATTTTGACCTTCTTCTTCCCCTGTCCACGCTCTTTTTGTTGTCCCAGTAGTTTTATTTTCACCTTTCAAGATTTGATTTTGACCTTCTTCTTCCCCTGTCTTAGACTTAGAGTCCAATAAATAAACATTACATCCCACTCTAATTTATTTCAGCTTCTAGATTCATTTCAACAATTGATACTGACTTCTGTTCTTCTCTTGTGAGTTTCTTCATCTGGGTTCTCTTTAGTTTCACACAATATTGATTGTAGCTTCAGAAACTGCTGCTTTGACTAGCTTATTAGTGTAGTTCATTCATGACTCATGTTTATACTTATTGTATTTGATTATGTTGATTTGGTATGTGATATTTCTGGGTTTGTGGAGATGCTGAATCTTTTATTCAAGTTGGTTCATTGGCTGTTTATGTGTGAATCTAATTCTCATCATAGTGCTCATTTTCTTACCTCTTTTGTTTTATTACCTTGCTTTCAGACTGTCCATTAAAATCCTTCAATTGTTTTGACCCAGTTATATAAATATGAGATATTCTTGATTCTTGCCAAATATGTAGTCTTTTTTTCTAGTTATAGTATTTTGCTTTAATATCTTATATTTGATTTTAGATTTTGATCCCCTGTTTTTTAATTCTTTTGGTTTGCCAGAATTTAAGCGAAGTTTGGAATGTTTATTTCTCAGTATTATTATTTCTCTCTGTATCAATCATCAATCTAATATTCATATCAATTTTCAACGCTTAGGTGCCTGTTGCTTGAATGGCGGCAATACTGGCTTTACAAGGTGGTTGTTGCCGCAATAATGATTTGATTAATCAGAGATCAATGGATAACCTCAGTTTCTCAAACTCCGTATCAAAGTTTGAGAGGCAAACATGTAATCCAACTACGACCAGTAAATATTTCCAGTTTCAAGTGGAGATGCAACAAACTGAATTGCCCTCTAGATTAGGAACCAATGGACGACCTGTTAAAATGGTACCTACTAGTGAGGTAATGAAAAAGAAAACTCCATCCGATGGCAAAGCAGAGAGAGTGAATGGTACAAAGCAAGTAATTAATGGAGCAAGTCTAGTTAAGAGAAAGTCTACTTCAGCCCTGGTTAGGACTCCAAAAAGGAGGGACTCGGATGAACTTCCACCAGTAGAGGGGCTGAAGGTTCTGCCTTCAGATGAAAGTTTCAGTTGGGCTAATGAGAATTACAACTCTTGGCAAAGGACAGTTGATGTTTGGTCGTTTGTTACTGCATTTCGTCTCCGCATTCTGTTTGACAACGCCAAATGGGCATATTTTGGAGGCTACACAGAAGATAAGCAGGTGAGTTTTGGCTGGCAATTTAGGATGTTATGTACTGCCATATTGGCTTCTAACTGTACTCGACTGCTAAAACTGCTTGTTTCATAGTTAGCTAAGTTTCTCTTTATTTCTTGGTTTACTGGACTTGGGTCTTTTGTCTTGCTTTGGTGTTTATGAACTCTCTTTCATTCAGAAAAACAGAAGACAAAGAACTGCCTCTTGGCTACGGGAACGTGTACTGCAACTTGGTCCAACTTTTATTAAACTTGGGCAGTTATCTTCTACAAGGTCTGATCTTTTCCCACGCGAGTTTGTTGATGAGCTTGCCAAGTTACAGGTACTTCTTAGTTCCTATTTGTAAAAAGATTTTCTTCTCACTTGATTTGACTTTTAGGAGCAGAGATCCTATAATCTGTGTAATTTCATTTCATTTTATACTGAAAAATAACATTCTTTTTATATGAATTTAATGTTTTCACTTAATGTTCTTCAGGATAGGGTCCCTGCCTTCTCACCTGAGAAAGCAAGACACTTCATTGAGGATGAACTGGGTGCTCCCATCGAACAGTTGTATAAAAAGTTTGAGGACCAACCGATTGCTGCAGCTAGTCTTGGTCAGGTGTTTGATTCTTGTTAGTTTCTATAGTTTCTCAGTTTGTGTTTTTTGATCATGTTATTAGAGTTTGTCCATGCTCAGCGGTCATGGAGACTATCTTCAGTGTGATATGACTTTACACACATGCTGGGCTTTGCCACCTAAAACTTAAGTCTCTGAGTTGTTTTCTCTATTAATCATGCAATATTCTGTTTCTAGTGGCATTTAAAAGAATATCCATATGCAACTGCAGAAAGTATACTTATGAACTTCCATGAATTAAATTCCTTAGGCTAACTTTCTTCACATTTGATTCAGTTTTCACCTGTGATCATTCGCCTTTGCTCATTTGATTTGAAAGGATCCTGTCTATAGGTACATCGAGCTATCCTGCATAATGGAGAGAAAGTAGTTGTAAAAGTTCAAAGACCTGGTCTCAAGAAGCTTTTTGACATTGATTTACGTAAGCAACAGACTCTTTCAGCCAATTTTTCCTTCCCCTGCTGTTGGGTTTATCAGTATATTTAATTTTTTGAATTAAAATGAGGCAGCACAAAAGTTAGCTGTGTGTATTCATGTATTTCTACCTATGCAGTCATATAGATGTTGTTTTACTGATTGTTTTATTCTATCTTCTCGAAATTATAGATCATGCTGGGTTCAGTGTTTTCGTATTGCTACATGGATCTTTTGAGTTTGTTTATTGTTCTCCAGAGGTTTCATTGTTGCCTTATTTCCTGCATCTCCCATACAGGAAATCTAAAGCTAATTGCAGAATACTTCCAGAGAAGTGAAACATTTGGTGGCCCAACACGAGACTGGCTTGGCATATATGAAGAATGTGCCACGTAAGTACTAATCATCTGTCAGTTGCTCAGTTGATATTTTACCACGAGATTAATTATGAAACACTAGTTTCCAATTAAGCATATGAACAGTAACATGTCTCCATGTCATGTTAATTTGTGTTCTACGCCTGTCCATGTGAAAAAATAACTTTCACAACAGCATCTACAATATCTTAATTTTTTAAAAACAACATTTATCTGTGTTTTGGTGGAGCTATGTATATTTGTATGACATGTTTATGCAGAAGGTCCTCATTAAAAATGATTTTAATAAAGCATGGATTTCTTCGGTGTTTTGTACACTAATTGCGAGGTTTCAAGCTTATATTTGTTCACCCTTTCATTGATTTTAGGATTTTGTATCAAGAAATTGATTACATAAATGAAGGCAAAAATGCTGATAGATTCCGCCGAGATTTTCGGAATGTCAAGTGGGTCCGAGTACCAGTATGTTTTACTCTCCAAGACTGCAACTCAACTGATGCATTATTCAATTAGTTTTTCAATTAATTTTTTTTTCTCATATTCTCATCATCTATAGTTTTGGAATTTTTAACAAATATAAATCTAGTCTTTGAAGCTTAGACCCTCTCAGGGATTCCTGACTATAACTCTTTTCCTCTGTAGCTGGTGTTTTGGGATTATACTGCCACAAAGGTGTTGACCTTGGAGTACGTACCAGGTTTTACTCTAAACCAATGCTTTGTTTTGGTTCAGAATGTTATCAAGGGTGTATTATAAAGTTGCACAATCTACGTTTTTGGAGACAGAGTAGATTTTATGCTGATAAGGATTGATATGAGAGTGTTACTTATGTATCAGGCATTAAGATAAATGAATTGGATGCACTAGATTTACGGGGTTTTACTCGTTCTCAAATTGCTTCACGGGCAATTGAAGCATACTTGATTCAGGTAATTAATATTAACTATCTAAACCGATTTATGTAACTACTTCTTCCTAACCTGAACAAGATGACAAATATATGAAGCCCCTTGAGGACCTCGTTCATTATTATGCCATGAGATTATAGATAGCTTTCTTTCTCACAATTTAGTCATTTATAGAATTTTGCCAAAAATGCAGATACTCAAAACCGGTTTCTTTCACGCTGATCCTCATCCTGGAAATCTTGCCGTCGATGTGGATGAAGCACTCATCTATTATGATTTTGGCATGATGGGAGAGATTAAATCTTTTACTCGCGAGAGACTGCTTGAACTTTTTTATGCAGTTTACGAGAAAGATGCAAAAAAGGTCTACTTTCCATCTGTTTTCTTTTATAGTTGACCCGTTAGAATGAAACTCTGAAAGGAAGTAAACCATATACTTGTTATCTTTATTTATTTCATTAAATCGACTTTTATATAAGCATGTAATGGCTGTACTTTCCAACTTATCCTCATTGTTGTCAACTGCATTGGCCTTATCCTTAGAACTATTTCTGTATACTTTGGTCTAATTTTCTTTATACAAAAGAAGTTGAGAGAAGTTGGTCCCAAGTATCGAAGCTCAAATAAATCAAATTTTGCTCACTTCACTGGCCCCAACTGAGCAACTGTTTTTCAGGTTATTCGGAGCCTGATAGATCTTGAAGCACTTCAGCCCACAGGAGATTTGTCATCGGTAAGTCACCATGCTGTACCTTTAAAGTATCAACATTTCAAAAGAAAATTGTTTACTATTGAATAATGCTTGTTTATTCTTTCCCTAGGTGAGGAGATCTGTGCAATTTTTCTTGGACAATTTATTGAGCCAGTCACCAGATCAGCAGCAGACTTTGGCTGCAATTGGGGAGGTAATGTAAACATGTAGACTAAGAAATCATGGGCACTGGTGATGAATCAGCTAATACCGGTGAGTGATTTATATAAATAGACTAAGTTTTTCTATCTCTTGCATCTTCTTTAGGATTTATTTGCAGTAGCTCAAGATCAACCATTTCGGTTCCCATCCACCTTTACTTTTGTTATAAGGGCATTCTCAACACTTGAAGGTCCTCTCTCGCTCTCTCTCACCTCTTTCTCATCATAAAAATCATCACTTCAAATCAAAGTTACAGAATATATCGCATTTATCCTACATAAGATTTGGCTATGATATTCTCTTGCAGGTATCGGCTACATCCTTGACCCAGATTTTTCCTTTGTGAAGGTTGCAGCACCTTATGCACAGGTTATATCCATTTTCCTCAGCATTTCTGATTCACTCTCCATAGCAGCTTTTCAATATGTTTTTCACATCTGCCAATCATTTTGTTATTTAAGAGTATAGAATTAATAGTTCCTACTGCCAACAGGATCTATTGGATATAAGACAACAGCGACGCAGTGGGACACAACTGGTGGAGGAAATAAGGAAACAAGCTGATGATGTATTGCACTTTGCCTCTGTTTCTCCCATTTCTTCGGTTTCTTGTACTCGCCATCAAATAGAAAACCTTAAACCCAAAAACAAAACAAAAAAATAGTTTTTTTTTTTTTTCTTGGCATTTATAAAAAAAAGTATTAAGGTTAAATTTCCATCATTGTTAGAATTAAGATCTCCTGTCCATATTTCCAGGCAAGATCTTCTACCATATCCATGCCCTCAAGAGTTCAAAGAATTGAAGAGTTTGTGAAACAACTTGAAGTTGGAGATTTAAAATTACGAGTCCGGGTGCTCGAGGTAATCATTTATTGTATTTGTCTCTAAATAATATAGGTGTAATATGCTTTCAGTTTTTCTTTTATTGCAGTTTGACAATATATTTTGATTTGAAATCATAAAATCTTTATTAACCAGTCTGAAAGAGCCGCTCGGAAATCATCAATTCTGCAAATGGCTACCATTTATACAGTATTTGGAGGTACCCTGCTAAATCTTGGGGTCACCTTAAGTGGTCAAGGCAGTCAACTTTTTGCAAATGGATCATTCATTGGTGCAGGTGACCTTTTCTTTATACATTCAAGATGAGACTGCAATTTTCTCCATAAAAATAACTCATTAATGATCTATATACACTGACACTCTTGACTTGCCAAATTGCAGGAGTTTTCTTTACATTGTTTCTGAGGTCGATGCAAAGGGTGAAGAAACTGGATAAATTTGAGAAAATGATATAAATCTATCCCTGGAACATTCCACATTTCTTTCACGTGTATAACAATTATTAAATTACTGCTCTTTCTTTCATTTTATTTTATTTTATTTTTTTTGGTCCTTTAACAATATAAGCTTCATGCTAAAGAAAAAAATTGCATGAAGGCTCTGTTCTTCACATTCTTATTTTGCAACAAGTAAAAGAAAGCAATGGCTCCCTGATGGGATATTGATAGCTGTACACATTGTACAATTGAAAAACATTCTGTTTTAATACAGAGAAACATAGAATGGTCTACTTGATTAGCCCCACTATTACAATCTAGTCAAGGAAATGCTTATTTCTGCTTCACCTCATAGATCTACACAGGCCACAATATTATCGATACCAAAATTCACCTTACCACAATTAACAAAATTCCCCAATAGATAAAGGAAGATATATATTGATGACGAATTTATCATCTCTGCTTGCCTTATTTAACAAAATTCAACAAAATGAATTGCTATACCAATGCAATTATCATCTTCCAGGAGTTTGTAAAGAGTAACATGTCAGCTGTCAGGGTTGCAAGAAAACGAACCCTCAAGTGTCAAAACCCTCTTCAAAACTTATTCCAAGTTCCATGACAGGCATGAAACTCAAGGGATGGACCAAATAATGCAAGATAAAATTATCCAAGGAGCTCTCTCAGTATGGTAACGTTATGGCCATAAGCTGTTTAAATTCAAAACCTCAATCAAATTATCACTAGGAAGAATCACCTCCTTCCAGTGCCTTGGTGCATAAGCAAAATCACTGAATCAAAACCTATAAATTGTACACAAGTTTCTAGTTACAAAATTACTCAAGTATAAATAATCAATAACTTATTCCATATGTGGAATTTGTAATTAATGAAAAGAAGACAAGTTTTTGTTACCTCCACAAGGAATTCGATGAAGAAAATGGTAAGCATCTGACGGGAAGCAAGCACTGGGAACAATCATGCAGTGCATGGTAATCCCTATCTGGACTGGCCCTGATTCCGCTGCTTGTCCAAAGAAATGTGGATCACAGATGCAGCACGAGTAAACTAGTGCAAAAGAGGGGTTGGCCAGATTTGTAACTTCCTAAGCCATTTGCTTAATAAGATGGTTTAAATCCTCAAGATCTCTATAACTGGTGTTTCCATCAATTAAGTCCGCTAACTTAACGGAGTTTGATACCCATCCAAACAATGACATACGCTTGAAAACCTCTGCAGTTTTGTCCATTTTTCCTTCTCTCTGAAATTGGCGAGCAATAGACCGACATGAAGCAAAATCAAGCCTATGTCCACTTTCTCCCATTTCATCAAGTAACCTAAAAGCTTTAGAAAATTCCTCCTTTTCACACAGGGTGGTTATGAGAGCTTTGTATGCCCGCAAAGATATTGGCATACCCTTCTCCAGAATCAAATCCCTCAACTGCAAGGCTTTCATCAGATTACCTTCTTTACAGTAAGCATCAATCATTACATAATAGGTGATTTTATCAGGCTCAATTCCCTTCCCTACCATCTCTTCAAACAGAGCAAAAACCTCAGATCCATGCCCCATTCTATTGTAACCACTTAACAGTGATGTGTAAGTAATGGTTGTTGGCATCACATTCTTTTCCTGCATCTCCAGGAAGAGTTGTCTAGCTTTCTCCATATTTTGAACCTTGCAGTGCTGATCAATAAGAGTAGTATAGGTGACATGATTAGGCATTACTTGCCTTTCCAACATTGCTTCCAACAATTCGTGGGCTTCCTTGAGTTTCTTTCCCTTACACAAGCCCCCTATTAAAGTGTTGAAAGAAAGAGTGGAGGCCAAGCCCTTCTCCAACATATCCTGAAACAGTTCCCATGCTCTCTCTAGGTTTTCTACTTTACAGCATCCATCAAGAAGGGCAATGTAGACAAAACTATCTGGTGGGACACCCCTTTTCAGCATCTCATCCAATAACCAGAATGCCTCAGTTACATTCCCAGTTTTGCAAAAACCATCTATCATCGTAGCATACGTTACACTGTTGGGGTTCAAACCTTTTTCTGAGATGCTATGAAACAAGTTCTTACCTTTCTCAACATCACCTGCCTTGCATAATCCACAGAGCAATACATTATAAGTAACTATGTTTGGGTCAATGCCTTTCATGCACATCGCATCTTGAAGTTGAAAGGCCCTACCTATATCCCCTTGTTTGCAAAAACCAGTGATGAGGGAATTGAAAGTGTAAACATCAGGAACCAACCCCTTCTCTAAAAGTTCTGATAATATTACCAAAGCTTCTGGCGCTTTTCCATTCATTGATAGGCAATTGATGAGCACACTATACATTTGAACATCTGGAAGAATCCCTCGTGCAAGCATGCATCTAAATGTTGAGAATGCTTCCGTTATGTTCCCCTCTTTGCAGTGCCCATCAATAATGGCTGTGTAAATTACATCATTAGGCTCTAGGTCACAACCTAGCATCTCATTGAAATACCTATCCGCTACCTGCATCTCCCCTACTTTACTATAGCCATGGATAAAAGCTCCATATGTATAAGTATTTGGCTTTAATCCTTTCCCTAACATTTCAACCAAATAGGTCCTTGCTTCTTCCATCCTTTTGGCTCTGCAGAGACCATGTATAATAGAATTGTAACAAAACACATCGGGAGAAATTCCTTCCATCATCATCCACTCCAAGAACCTTCTTGCTTCTTCAATTCTATTTGTCTTGGCATAAGCTGAAATAATATTTGTGTAGATGACAGAATTTGGCTTCAAACCCCTCATAATCATTTTTCCCAAAACAGAATTAGCCTGTTGAAAGTTTCCACAATGGCATAGCCCATTGATTATCACAGCGTAAGTAAACACAGTGGGAGCCAAGTTCTTCTTCTTCATCTCATCAAATAAATCAAGAGCACTAACTATATCCCGTCCTCTGCAATACCCTTCTATTAACGAAGTATAAGTTCTTGAACTAGGTACAAAACCCATTCTACTTATCTCAGACATCACTTCTCTAGCCTTATCCATGTTACCACTCTTAGAAACCCCATTAAGTAGCATGTTATATATGACCAAGTCTATCTGATTACCAGAAGCAACCATCTCATCCTTCAGCTTAAAAGCCTCTTCTACATCACCTTGTTTCACCAACCCATCAACCAAAGCATTGTAAACAAGCACATCAGCCTTCAAACCCTTCCTGGTCATCTCCGATAAAACCAACTTCGCATCACCCAATCTTTTTTCCACGCAAAACCCATTAATAAGATGAGTATAAGTATAACTATCAGGAACCAACCCCATCTCAAGCATACAATTTTTCATCTCAACCGCTTCATCAACTTGCCCCATTCTACACAACCCACCAATGAAGACATTATAAGTGACAACATTCGGACTACAACCCTTCTCTCCCATCTCCAAAAACACCCGTTTGGCTTCCTCAACATTTTTCGCCTTAAAATGTGCATTGATCACTGTGGTATAAGTATACACATCAAAACCCACCTTCAATTCATTCATTTTCTCACAAACCTTCCAAAATAACTCCAATTTGTTCCCTTTCAACAACTCCCTCAACAACACATTACAACAAAGCACACTAGGCCTAAACTCGGTACTTTTATCGCAACTAAACACATCAACAGCCTCATTTAACAACCCTACATTCCTAAACCTATCAACGAAAATATTAAACACAACACCATTACACGCAAACCCACTACACTCTCTGTAACACCCATCAATAGCATTCAAAATATCACGGGTTGAGTTGTTATTACTACTAAAATTACTTGCTATTCTTTCAATAACATTACTAGCAGGTCCGTACAGTTTTGAATTGCACAACGAAACAACAATAAAACACAATAAATCTAACTCATTTTGCGGGGTATCCATATGGCGTTCGGACCAATGGAAGAAGTTGAGGAGGCGTATCGGGTCGTGGGTGGCGCCGGATTGGAGAATAACAGATCGGACCACATCCTGGTTCAACTTGTTGGGCATGTCTGATGTGTTAAGGAGGAGTTGCCAGTTGTTCTGATTAAGGATGTTGGTGATCTCTCGTACCGTGTCTTGTTGGGTGATCTGTTGCACCGATTTGGTTGAGACGTATCGGGTTCTAGTCCTGTGCACGTGAGAGGTCACACGTGTGAGCCTCCACATGTTTCAGAATGAATCTGAAGAAGATGAAGATGAGAAAATTTAACTGTCCGCCATCCAAATTTCCATTTAACAAAATGGTGATGAAAATCTTTTTGATTTATTTTTGGGTTAAAAAATATGACATCGTACACTTAAGTGTAATTAATGCAGCAAAAAGGATTAGGGTGAAAAGGTTTGAACATTTATAGGTTAGAGTATAATAAAGAGAAGCTGATTTAAAATTTGAAAGGCAAAACACATTTCTCTCGGCTTCTCTTTCTCATAACAGGATTCAAACACCTTTCTCTCTCTCGTTTTTTCTTCTAATTTTCTGCAATTTCTCAATTTCTTTGCTCTTTACATTTTTGTCATTCCTTGCCATTCCCGATTAAGTTATAATGGCTGAGATCCTTAAAGAAACAGAAAAAAACTCATCTACTCCCCAAATTGTAGGCACCACTGGGTCTACCAAAAATGGAGAAAAAGAAGTTGTGGTTGAGTAACTTCCGATGACTGAAGTTGCTCCACCAGGAGAGAAGACGGCGTCGACGGAAGACATTCTATTGGCGGAACAAGGGAGGGCAAGAGTTGAAATTGAAACTGAAGAGGAGGATGCCGACGCAAATTCTAAGCGTCGGACATACCAAGAGTAAAAGCAAAGGATCGCTTAAGCGATCTGGTATATGACAGAAGATCGCTTAAGCGATCTGGTATAAGCAATTTTAGATCGCTTAAGCGATCGTGCATCTGGGCAGAAGTTGATTCTGCCTTGGACATGATCGCTTAAAGCGACCAACGTTAAAAGCAAAGGATCGCTTAAGCGATCATGAGTCTGGGCACTTATTTATTGTCTTGTTCATGATCGTAGATCGCTTAAGCGACCAACTGTAAAAGCGAAGAATCGCTTAAGCGATCCTGTGTCTGGACACTTATTTATTATCTTGTTCATGATCGCTTAAGCGACCAATAGTAAAAGCGAAGAATCGCTTAAGCGATTGTGCATCTAGGCAGAAGTTTATTCTGCCTCGGACATGATCGCTTAAGCGATTTGTAATCGCTTAAGCGACCAAGGTTAAAAGCAAAGAATCGCTTAAGCGATAGAATAAATCGCTTAAGAGATCGTGCGTCTGGGCACTTATTGATTCTGTCTTGTTCGTGATCGCTGATCGCTTAAGCGACCAAGTGTAAAAGCATAGAATCGCTTAAGCGATAACATAAATACAATCAGATCTCTTAAGCGACTAAGTCTAAATACACAGGATCGCTTAAGCGAGAAATGAAATCTCTTAAGCGATCCAGTGTATTTGGATTATTTTTATTGTATTTCACTAGATTGGTTAAGCGATTAACAGTATCTTAGACATATAAGGTATACGATTCATTCAGTGGATCATGACCTTTATTATATTTTAATTAAATTAGTTCTTTTATGACTATATTAAACATATATGGTATAAAATATTTACATCTATATTAAACATATCAGGTGTACGATTCGTTTAGTGGACCATGACAGTTATTATATTTTAATTAAATTAGTTCTTTTATGGCTATATTAAACATATATGGTGTAGAATGTTTACGTCTATATTAAACATATCAGGTGTACGGTTTGTTCAGTGGACCATGACCGTTATTATATTTTAATTAAATTAGTTCTTTTACGGCTATATTAAACATATATGGTGTAGAATGTTTACGTCTATATTAAACATATCAGGTGTACGATTCATTCAGTGGACCATGACCGTTATTATATTTTAATTAAATTAGTTCTTTTACGTCTATATTAAACATATGTCCATAAACATGGAAAATAAATATTGAAGTAAATTACCCTTAATCGCTTAAGCAATCTCATCTATTTAACCTTGATCTACAGAGTGCAAAGCAGATGGTTGCAGAGTTCAATTTTATATCAATATTATATTTTTTTATATTACTTTCTTGCCAAGGACTAACAAAAATAATAGAATAACAATAGATTTTTCAGTTTTATGTACGATGCTGATTGACAAAGACCGAAGTGTTCTTTTCACATTCTATTGAAATGAAAAAAATAATTAATAATAATAAATAATTAATTAAAAAGGACTAAATATTAAATAAACATTATGGAATATAATTTCTCACCGAAGTATATCGCTTACTGCATCGCTTAAGCGATCCAGTATATCGCTTAAACGATCCAGTACAAATAAGTCTGATCGCTTAAGCGATCTTCTACCATATATCTGATCGCTTAAGCGATCTGCTGCCATATACCAGACTTATACCAGATCGCTTAAGCGATCTTCTGTCATATACCAAATCGCTTAAGCGATCCATCAGATCCAAAACACATTTTCAGCCATCTTTACCTACAATCGGTGCTATCACCCCTAGCTACTCACAATGCAAGAAAATATTCAACAAATTTCACTCCTTTCAACTTGCATTACATCAAACACAACCCAACAACCTAACAATTAAATCAAAATCATAACCGAAACCCTATCCATTATTAAATCTTTGTAAATCTAAATATAAAATGTAAAGAGGAGATACACATACTTAGACGAAATTTCAGGAGAAGGAGGAGGGGAATCTTTGGAGGAGAAGATGTTAATGGTGGAGGAAGAAGAAAGTGTTAATGGCGGAGGAACAAAAAGATATAGGGGAATGAGGAAGAAGAAGATGTAGAGGAAGGAGGAAGAAGAAGATGTAGATGAAGAAGAAGATGCAGAGGAAGAAGAAGATGTAGACGAAGCTAAGAAAAAACAGCAACCAAGGTAGAGATGCGTTAATGGCGGGAGGAAGAAGAAAGTGTTTGGGTTTGTTTGCAAGAATTTCGGGTTTTTGGGAATATAGTATAATTTTTAAAAGATTACATAATACTTCATTAATCCTAATTAAGCACTAATCAAGTTTAATTACCCTTCATCAATAATAAAGCTATTTAGTTAACACTTTAAAACTTCATAGCCTTTTAATTCAATTTAAACTTGAGATGGCATTTTAATAAACTGCCCCGATGAAGATGAAGAAGAAGAAGCAGGCAAGCAGAAGCTGTTTCTTTTGAGTTGAAATGGAGAGGATGGTTTTATTTTTTATTTTTCATTTCGGGACCCCTAAGCTATCATCAAATAACAAAAATACTCATACAACATCTTTGGTCATACAATGTAGTATAAAAAAATTAAAAAATATGATTTTTTATTTTAAATTAAAATTAAATTTTCAATTAATCATCTTTTATCATCGCATAATGTTATATGAAAAATATTGTATGCGTAATATTATTCAAAATACTCGGAACTATTAGTAAGTGTTAATATTTACAGTTTTACACTCTCAAGAATCCATAAGTATTACAAAAAAGTTACCTTTATATAGTTTATTTCAACACCTCATTTTTTTTGTTATCTTAAATTCAAATTATAATGAATTTTGTTCAACTTTATGTAGATGCAAAAAATCTACCGTCATGAAAATAGGGTCTGATCCTGTGAGGTTGAGGCCACTGACAATCCGCTAGACCTGCACACATAAAAGGGCAAGCGTGAAGCTTCCAGAAAACACCGAGATGGTGCTTGCCGTAGGCACTCCGACACTCAAGACAGCGAGGCTGAAAGAGATTATTTGATAAGAATTAAGGAAATGAAGAATTACCAGGAGTCTTGTCAGAGGCGTCGGGTTCTTGGGAGCAAGAACTTAGGAGCAAATAGATGGTTTTGAGTAGTGTAGATTGACTATGGGAGATTGCCCCTTGATGAGAGGGCAAGTCTATATTTTTATAGTGAACCCAAGGGGCTGGAATCCTAGTAGGACATTGAGTCCTCTTTTTTGGGAGATAATCCCTATCAAGAAAGAAATATGATTTCTTGACCTTATCAGATTAAGTTTAATAGTTTAAATAAAATTTGGAATCTTAGTAGGACACTAAGTCCTATTTTGGGAGATAATCCCTATCATGAAAGATATATGATTTCTTGATCTTATCAGATTAAGTTTAATAGTTTAAATAAGATTTGGAATCTTAGTAGGACACTAAGTCCTATTTTGGGAGATAATTCCTATCATAAAAGAGATATGATTTTTTGACCTTATCAGATTAAGTATAATAGTTTAAATAAGATCTGGAATCTTAGTAGGACACTAAGTTCTATTTTGAGAGATAATCTCTATCATGAAAGAGATATGATTTCTTAGCCTTATCAGATCAAGTTTAATAGTTTGAGTAAGATTTGGAATCTTAGTAGAAGAGGAAATAGAATGGGATTCTGATTTCCTATTTATAGACTGTTGCAGACTAATGGGCTGAAACCCAAATTAGCTTAACTTATAGGATAGCTCAACGCATAGAGTGGATAATTCGTAAGGTGATTTTAACCGTAGACCCAATCGAGATTGGGTTGAAGCCTTGGGTCATGACATGTTTATTTCGTTATTAGGGCCCGTCCCCAAGACGATTTTAGCACAACAGTTAGCCCCCACTCTGTAAGTTAAAGAGTATTTAGCTTAGAGAGTAGATTTAATCGAATGAGTGCAGACTGAGCGGATTAGTGATAACAGCTCTCTTAGGTGGATGGATCGTTGTGTGGATTGGGTCAATGACTTGTCCATTTGAGGTGCAAGTCCTTCAATCGGCTAGGCCGATTGAATGTGTAAATCTATAAATCGGTCTGGGCAATCAGGGCATAAACCGGTCTGGGCCAATGAGGGCATAAACTCGGTCTGGGCCAATCGAGGGCAAAATCGTTGGGCCAAGAGGGCATAAATCATGAATCGGATTGGGCCGATCGAAGGCGTAAACTCGTGAATGGACTGGGCCGATCGAAGGCGTAAACTCGTGAATCGGCTGGGCCGATCGAAGGCGTAAACTCGTGAATCGGGCAGGGCCGATCGAAGGCGTAAACTCGTGAATCGGGCAAGGCCGATCTAAAGGTGTAAAGCCATGAATCGAGCAGGGCCGATTCGAAGGTGTAAATCCGTGAATCGGGTAGGGCTGATTCGAAGGTGTAAACTCGTGAACGAAGGTGTAAATCCGTGAATGGGACAAGGCCAATCCAAAGGTGT